ACACACACAACTGCTATCATATATTAAAGCTAGCTCCAGCTTCTTAGATGTGCATTATTTTCATCTTTTTAAAAAAGGAAATAAAATGTAAAATGTCAATTCACCATCCTCTTTCCCTGCTTCCTCCCTCCCTTAACCTTTCCTCCTACCCTTCACTCATCCCTTCCTTTCTTCTTCATTCTTCTTTTTTAATCTTTTTGTTTTTACTTTTTCTCTCATGGAACACCAGCAAACAAATTACCAATTATTTAAGTTCATTCACATATCTGCTAGAGTTCTCATACTTGACCTGGCTCTTCATGCCTCACCATCTCCTGTGTCTTCTCTGGCAACCTAGGAGAGCTGAATGCTATGTCCTGGAGGATTCGCAAAGACTCTGCCAAGTTCCATGCTTAGACTCTTCTCTACTTCTTTATTCCCTCCTACCCTAGGTGAATCCCTTGAGTCTCACATTTAAATTGAGACCATACGCCAATGACTCTCAAATTTACTGTTCCAAATGGGTCATCTCCTCCTGAATTACAGACCCATTTGTCCTTCTGTGACTCAATATCTCCACTTACCAAATCTAAAAACAATCTCCTCAGTTTTTCACCCGAAACTTGTTCCTCCCACAGGCAACTCTTATCATTCCAATTGCTTAGGCCAAAAATCTACTTCATCCTGATTTCATTTTTTCTGTTACTTTCCAGATCTAATCTATCAGCAAATCCTGTTATTTCAACCTTCAAAATAGACCTACAACCTCCTTTTCCATCTTGGGCCAATCTGTCATCATCTTTGATCTAGCTTCTTCCAAAGTCTCTTTCTGCTACAGTGTGCTTTTGGAAGTTAACTAGGCAACCAAAGTGATCTCACCACCTTGTGTGTGTAGTTGGGTCTGTGTGTGTGATCACTAATATATAAATCAGATCCTATCACTCCTCTGTTCAAAACTATCCTATAGTTCCTCATCTTACTCATAGTAAAAGCAGAAGTCAACAAAGTCTTCCTGGATATTCCTTCCACATCCATTTTTTACCCTTATTATATACTCACCTCTAGTTAAATTGACCTCTACGTAAATCCAACCCACATGGCACCTCAGGACTTTGCTATTATTGCTCTCTGTACTTGGAACACTCTTATCCCCTGCACATACCTGGCTCGGGCTGCACATACCTGGCTTGGACCCCCTTCTTTAGGTCTCTGCTGCATGTCCATTCAGCAGGAAAACACTCTCTGCTATCTGCACTGCTCCCTGTACTCCATAATTTTCTCCATGACACTCAAGCGCCCCATGACATTTTATTATCTTTTCTTGATTTTGTCTGTCTTCCCACTAGAAGTGAGCTCCATGAAAGCAGCATTTATTTACTTTAATATTTATTTCATTCATTTATGCATACAAGATCTGGGTTGTAGGCTAGAGGTAAGGTGGGGGGAGGGACGTGAGAGGATTCACCAGAGACAGAGTGGGGAGTAGAACAGGCAGACTGACTGAAATACACTGCTGAGGTGAGCAGCAGTTGAAGCAGGAGAAGTCTGCTGTGTCGTGTGAGTCAGCTCCCTGATCAGGGATGAACTCCTGCTGCTGTGGCTGGTGATAGCTTAACCCCTTGTGCCTTATTTATTTATTTATTTATTTATTTATTTATTTATTTATTTATTTATTTTTAATCAGATTTGATCATAGTGATATTCTTCAGTGCCTTGGACAGTACTCAACACATGATGGGCACTCAAAAATAATTCTCACATGAATCAATAATGGATAATTTTCTCATCTGATTTAGGACATAGAATAACCTACCTTCTAAGCCAGAAGCAAGCTATGATTTATAATGCCTACTAGCTTAAACTAATGTGGAAACCTGAGGTAATTGTGGGACATGTTGTCTACTAAATGTCACTATGATATGAGTACAGGTACTGGGGCTTTTCCACTATGCTCCTCACCTGTGCTCCTTCTATGCATATATAAGAATGCTTTTGGAAAAGGGTATCAAGATTACAAATAGCCTATAGAATAACATTTTCCCCACAGGACAGTCACATGTGGGATATTAAGCAAGGATCCTTAACAGACTTTTCTAGAGTAAACAACAAGTAGAAATTTGAAGAAAAGAGGCAGCCTAATTTTCCAATATTTTTGTATGAAGAACTTAACAAGTTCAAGCAAGAACCTTTTTAACTAAATTCTCTAGATAAATTAATCTACTTTCTACTTTACTAAAACTTTATTGTCTCTTATTAAAATACTCCAGGGGAGAGAAATTAGAAGAGAGTTAGAGATGTAGAACTTAAAAGATATAATTATGTGAATGTGGAGCAAATGAGAAGATAACATTCGATAAATAATAGTAAGGTATGCTGTCAATAAAGGTATTTTATTCCCACTTATCAAGCAAGAAACAAAAGAAGTAGTAATTGGGGTGACACATGTCAGGGATACTGAGAGCTGCACAAATGTGGTCAAAGGAATGGATAGGAGTATACTGGCAGAGAGCATCTCCCATTCTTCTACCCTGTGGCTTCCAAAGAAATTCTAGGGCCAATGTTGTAAGTACAGCCCAACTTACTGCTGCGTGAGTCACCCTGCATTTGACCTCAAGAAGAGGCCCTTACATGTAGCTGTGGCCAACCAAGGCTGAATCTGGCCTCTCTGGTTTGAATGAATGCTGTCTATCTTCCACTTCATGGAACTGGGGTATGAACTGGTGGTCTCCTGAGTGGTCTGTTCCAAACCATGGGGGAAGCTAGCTTCAGAATCAACCCCACTGCCCCTCACATATATGCATCATGAAATCATCACATGGCTAAGAGCAACATTTGAAAAGAGAGAAAAAAATTTTTTTCTACAACTATAATAGCCATCTTTGCCAATTTTGCTTGCCTACTAATTTTCATTTGTAAAGTTTAATAATTTGTATTCCTTTTCAGCTCCTAAGAAGTCAAAAGCAGTTCACAAAAGAAATAACATAAAAACGTTTTTTTAAATTAAAAACCATTATCAGAGGAAATATAAACTAGAACTAAAATTCAAGGCTAGAGGGGAAGTAAAATATGCTCATCACAGAGTTCTAAAAAGTTCTCAAAGTTAAGCAGTAAGTAAACTTGGTTCTGTGTTAATCGAGCAGTCAAAGCAAAAAGAGAAACAGAACTAGCTACATTATTCACATGGCCATGAGGAGAAAATATTTCAGTTCCTCAGGGGAAGCAAACTATTTCCTGGAATTCAGATCTGCAAGAATTTCCTCCCAGGGGGCTTCATATAGGAGATCATGAGTACTATGTAATGTGACCATCTAAAACCACACCCTTCCATCCTAAAACTCCTTGGTTAATGTCTTTAGGAAAATCAAGGGTTGACACTTGGTTACAATTATTCTGTCAGATACGAAAAGAATATGGACCAGCTTTCTTATAGTTCAGTCTAATTTCAGTCAACCTTGACTATCTTGACCAAAGAACTTAATCTCTCAGATTTCTACATATGCCATGTCTACCAGGAGAGTTAAATGTACTAGTCAATCAAAAGAATGCTACTAGAGTCTTCTTCTCCCACATTATTTTCATGCTAAAAAATACATTCTGGGGCCCTCCCTGGTGGTGCAGTGGGTTAAAGCACAGCACTAAGAAGCTAAAGCCACTGTTCAGCATGAGTTCAATCCCCACCTCAGAGGTGACCCATATGGCATGGCAGACCTCTCCTAACCCACCCACTGCTCCTCACAGCAGTGTACTTTGTCGAGCTGCCTGTTCTGCTCCCCACTTTGTCTCTGGTGAATCTTCTCACTCCTCCTACACCTCTGGCCTGTACCCCAGTTCTGTATGCATAAATAAATAAGTCTTTAAAAAAATACATTTTGTATTTCTGTTGCACTGAATATATACCTTTTTTTTTAGTTAGCTTTTGTTAAGTGTTCAGAGCAGCATCTGGCAAATGTGTGCTATATAAGTGTTTGGAAAAAGAAAAAAGGGGTCTTGTCACTGGGGGGTGGGAGAATGAAGGATCAAGTATATATGACAGATTAACTAGAAATAAATTAAATGAGCTGGCTGACATTTTATGCCCTCTTATAACCTCCTCCTATTTTCCTAATTTTTCCTAAAGGAGTACAGACTGAAGCTCTTGACTGTTTTGAAGTGGAAAATGTGACATGAAAAATCTGGTGGAGGGGATTATTGCAATTTTACATAGATGAGGATTCAAAAGGCTTTGAAACACTAAGAGAAACATCAGAACTTTTTTTTTTTTTAATTTACAAGATAGAACAGCTGGAACTACAGAATTCATAGCTACCTGGCAGGTCCTCTCTTTCAACCATCTTTCACGTTTAATCTCAGTGCATGTAATGTAACGAATCTTGCTTAGTATGCTATGTCATTCAATAATGCTCTATCATAATGATGAAAAATACTAAAGACCTACATTAGTGCATTTACTTGCAATCCCATTTCTTCCCCTTAGTCCTATAAAATAGTTTTAAAATGCCAGTACAACTTTACGATAAAATCTGAACATATTCAGGAGGAATTTAGAAAGTGAATTTTCTACATTTTTACAAACAAATAATTCATACTTAGAGTTAACCTGTGTGTCTCAATCATGACGAATGTTTGCTATGACTAGGAAGTGACTGAATGTGATGGAGATCTATGGTGAAGATCCAAATAAAGCTAGTTATAAACTGGGCCCAGATCAGATATGATCCTCTCTTCTCACTACCATGATTATTTGCCTTTTGTCCAACCCTTTGACTTGTCTTCTGTACTCACACCCAAGTTTCTATTAAAGTTTTAGCAAAGTAAAACAACTAGTTTTGAATAAATCAGCAAGTGCAAGTTTATCTGACTCAGGACTCAGGTTCAAGAATAGCAACTTTTTTTTTTTTTTTTTTACAAAATCAGACACACATTTGCAAATGGGTGAAGTACTGGTTAGGGCATATCAACATACTCTGCATGTAGAATTTTCTAGCAGATATGATAGGAGTCATCCACCCAGGCAAACTTACCCGCTTGCTACTCTCCTCCTCCTGAGCCTTCCTGAACTCATGCTCCAGGGAACAGTCCAGCTCATTGAAGAGTCCCACTTCCTCACAGTTCTTCAGGAATCTCGTTGGGGTCGGAGTCTGATCTGAAAACAGACCCAGTAATCAAATATGGATCTCTGTCTCAAAAGCCAGTAGCAGGTGTGAACTAAACTCACAAAAACCCTCCCCTTGCCTTAAGATGCAACTGGCCGTCTATGATCATCCTTTTTGAGAATAGGGAAGAAAATAAAATCACACGTCCTAAAAGGGAAATCTGACACACCAATGCTGCAGCATATGACGGCTTTCCTCGTCAGTCACAGGAGAGCCCAGCATTGACTTCCTGGGCTCTGTACCACTGGAATATATGTCTTTGTGTAGAGTTCCTTTTCAAATATTAGGGGAATAAAAGGTTTTGCTGAAATCAGGCTCAGAACTCTGCTGTGTCAATAGTAAACCTGACTTCAGGGAGCTGGGAAGAAAAAAAATGTAAATTTTCTTTCAAACAAAAAAACCCAAGCATGTTAATTCTTTCTTCTTAATGGAAAAGGATAGTTAGCAATACTATTTGTCATTTTGAGAGTCATAGGAGAATGAAGAGCACTTCCAAGTCAAACACATTCAGCTTCTACCTTTAAAAATATAATAATTTTATATTCCTCTGCCTTAGCCAAAAGAATGTTCTGAGAATACACTTCAAAAGGAATAGAATTTCTTTCATTCTCTTGACAGTTTAGAGAGCTTACTATTTGTAAAACTGAAGAAAATGACGCCATTATTTGTGGGTAATGTCAATGCAGTATTTTCAGTTTAAAAAATATTTTGACACATATTCTCTAGAATCTCTCAATTTCACAAGATCCTATAAAGTAAATAGAGTGCACATTAGAAGTGGGGAAATAAATTTAGAGCTTTGTACTTGTGATCATCTTACCTTTTACCTTCATACATGATCCTTTCTCATTTGAAATCCCACGCTTTTCCCTGACTCTCCTCCCAGGTCCAAAGCACACTGCTGTATGTATGAAGGATAATGTTGAATACCCAGAATCTATGTTTTAATATGGTATGATGTGAGGTAATTTACCTCCATTCTTGGGACCTTATATACATCACTTGTCAAGTAAAGTTACATGAGACTCTGAATCCTAAAATGACCACCACGATAGGTTAGCTGCAAGAGGCACTGTTAGGAGGTCAAGCAAACATAACCATCTAAGGGATAGCTAAATGGGAACATTCCTAGCAGGTGGTTAGACAATGGAAATTAAGCCAGAAGTGAGAGGTCCATATACCAAAAGAACAGTTTTCTGAATAGAAGGTATAAAAAGACAAGATACAAGAATGGAAATAAAATTGTGTGTGTGTGTGTGTGTGTGTGTGTGTGTGTGTGTGTGTATAGTCTTCCATGTATAGCCTTCCATGTATAAGCAATACCATGTCAGGTATCATACCAAATGCTTTGTAATGAAACAGCTCATTAATTTTCCATCAGCCACATTAGATAAAAATTATTTATCTGGGCTCTCCCCGATGGCGCAATAGGTTAAAGCACTTCACTATGAAGCTCTCCGAAATCACTGCAACACAAGTTCAATCCCGAGCCAGGGATCTGACCCATATGGTATGGCAGAACTCTCCTGACTCGCCCGCTGCTCCGCTCATCTGTGTATTTCAGTAAATCTGCCTATTCTGCTCCCATTCTGTCTCTGCTGAATCCTCTCACCCACCGCACCTCTGGCCTGTACCCCAGTTCTGTAAGCATAAATAAATAAACCTTTTTAAAAAAATGATTTTTCCTATTTTACCAATGAATCTGAAACTCATTCCAGACCCCATTTACAAATTGAGTCACCTATTATGGACATTTCAATTATGCATTGTATTTGTCATTGACAATCCTAACAATCTTTGCTTTTTGGAAATTTCTTTGAATCATTTTATCTCCCACCTAAGTACAACTGCATAATAGTCTTAATAGCTCCCTTCTATCTTGCAGAAACATTTAGTGATTAAAAAACCTAAGGAAGCTTCACATAATCAAACTGGCCACTTGTCATCAATAAAAATTTGGCTCATCAGGTTTTAATTTTTCTTGTGTTCCTTTATGCTTCTTTTCTGGAGATTTACAGGTCATGAAACCAGATAGAGAAACCAGTAATTCCAACAGCCTCTATCAGATTCCCGAACTCTGAAAGGAGCCCACGAGATGGTCCATAAAGCCCCAAGCATAGTGGAGAAATATTTGCTGTATCCTCTAATGGAAAACTGTTCCCAGATACTGACACACACCAACACATGTCTACACAAGAGGCTGTAAAAGCCTGGCAATGACACTGTCCATCATCAGGCTTCTCCATAGCAATAGGGTAAAAAAAGGGATGGACAAAGAGAGCCACAGGCTCTCTGACTAACAGAGTCAGTAAAGACAGAGTCCCTGACTAACCCCAAAGCAGAAGCGGCAAGGAAGGCCCTGAATGTGATTTTCTTTGCTGTAAGATATAGTGAGGAAAAAGCAAAGCAGATACTTATATCCACATTTGGAACAGATAAGACACACTGTTCCTAATTTTTAATTCATTTTCTTTTTGTGAATGAGCTATTCTTTCCAGTTTCAACAGGAACCAGAAAATGGAGCTTAACTTTTGTTTAAACATTTATTAGAATTAATACAGGGTCTCAAGTTGTCTTTGATCCCACATGGTACCAGTTCCAACTAAGCCAGGAAATGTGCAAATCTTCAAAAGGGGGAGAGTCGAAGTTATCTTCAGCTTTAACAGAGAAGACAGAGTTTCTAACCCACATAAATGTCTTGTAAAATAACTATTCCTGCTAAAGTTAGACCTGAAGTTAGTGGGTAATAGGCATGACCATAAATTAAAATTCTCATAAACCATACTTCCCTTACAACCAAAAGCACCCATAAGTTACTTATGATGGCAGGAATTTCCTCATCTTAAAGAACAGTGGTCAATGCCACAATATTACCTGTTGGTGATCATATCTAAGGTGTGCCCTTTTGCTTTCCTTTCTGTCCCAGCTTCTACTGCAGTGAGGACTATCTGATGAGAGAAGGGGATAACCCCAAATCTCAAATTAAACTAGAAGTCAATACCCATGAGTGTGAAATTCACTTGATTTGAAAGTATTTTGTTGTTATTTGTAAACCTAAGTTGGTGCTTGTAAACACTAGCACATCACGTTCTTGTGGAGGTTGCAAATAGCGTGGGGGTTCTTAGGTCCCCCCAGACACCAGAGCAGGTAAGAAAGTTCACAGGCTTCTCTCATTCAGCATACCTGTCCTGGGAGTTTCTTTATCTTTTGGACAAGAAAGATTGACACCAAAAGGAACTAAAACATCTCTTGCAATGTTGCCATAGTGTAGTTTGTCATATTTCAGTCTCTGTTCCCTTCCTGGAATAGTAAGCTTGTTTCTTTAAAAAAAACCTGGAACCAGGCCCTCCCTGGTGGTGCAGCGGGTTAAAGCACAGCACTAAGAAGCTGAGTTCAATTCCCACCTGCCCCGGAAGTAACCAAAGGTGACCAAACGGCGCGGCAGACCTCTCCTGACCAGCCTGCTTGTATTTCATCGATCTGCCTGTTCTGCTCCCCCACTGTCTCTGATGAAGCCTCTTGCTGCCCCTGAGCCTCTGGCCTGTACCCTTGTTCTGTATGCACAAAAAAAAAAAAAAAAAAAAAAACCTGGAATCACTGTCTCCCTAAACATCTTGGTGAAGTAGTCTTGCTGTGCTTATATATCTTCCAGGAAGAGAGCCACAAAAATGGCATCACAATTAGATCCATCCATCTCCATCAATAATAGGTAATTCTAGCTATGTTACATTTAGGCAAGATAATAGGTGAATGGCTAAACTACTTGAAGAAAAACAGTCTCCCAGTCAGTCCATGTTCTGCCTGGCAGCAAGTTCCTCAGCCCCAGTAGGCTTGATTATTCCAAACCCTAAATGAAAAGCACTAAGCTGGAGTCTCAACCTTGATTCTTCAACGTGTTTACTCTGCTCTGCATTTAAAAATAGATTGCTACCCTATCAGTTTCACAGTTGTGTTTGTTTGCCTATGTTTCATTTTCCTCCATTAAAATAAAGGCAAGGTGAAAATTATCAATTAAAAAAAAGGGAAGGCAGACTTCCTATTTGTGTATTAAAAGGGAAGACTGTGAACTTCCTCAGTGAACTTCCTCAGCAAAATATTCTTTTCTATTGGTTTAGTACTCCCAACTATGGTATTATTAAAGGGCTATGTAATTTACATAATTTTGTATTAAATTGATAGTGACTGATAATACTATAAAGGTCTCACTACTTCAGACTAGTCATAAGAAAGATCATTTTGAATTAGTGGTTATTCTACTTATAGGAATACACTTTTAATATTTGCATGACTCAGATTCAGCCAACAAAATGTGCTTAATGCAATTCCTTGACTGAGTGTCACTCAGTCAATAGAGAAATGTATTGGCATCAGCATATCTATTTTAGTAAAAGTTAGAATTCTCAGAAAGGGCATTTTCTTATATCCTTTTAATGTTCCTGTTATATTTAGTCTATATATTTTCCAGCAAATGTTCTCTTTGGGATACTCTTCTTAGTCCCTATCCAAAATTTTAATTAGGAGAGTTTCATTAAATGAATTTTATAATAATAAGCTGTTATAAGTAATAATCAGTGACAACTGCAGGAATTTCAGACAGACTTCTTTGCAATAAATGTGCCTTTCATTGAAAGCGAATATACTGTAGGTGATACTGACATTACTGTTTCCCTACAACTCTCTCAAGAATCAGTGCTACCATGGGACAAGCCAGGGAGAACTGGGTTTTTAAACAATGGCTGTTGAGTCTTAGAACCTGACTGCCACTGGGTTAAGACCCCAGTCAGTGGAGTAGCATGATCCACCTCAAGCTGCTGGATTCCCTTTATTACCAAGGTAGTTAGCTAAGGGTTAGCTGTCTCGAGAGAGTATCTGAATCAAATAGAAAATTCCCGGACAAGGGTTTCTCTTATAACACATGGTCCCATAGGTTTAAATTTAAATTAAGCAAGTCTACAGTCTATACCTACTCACTCTTAGCCATGGACAGCCC